GTAGAATCTTCGACAAAAGGGAGAAAGCGCAAAAGAAATCCAACAGAATGGACACGGACAGTCAACGCAGTTCGACGGTATAGTGGAAAAGCTTACGTGAACAGAAACCGGAAGAACATACCTGGCAAATCATTTAAAAATGTTGATTGTAAATGTAGACGACTTTGTTTTTCCAATATAACACTCGAAGAACGACAACTCATTTTTGACTCATTTTACAAGTTAGCTGACAATACAAAGCAGAACATTTATCTTCGAGGACTGATCATAACAGCTCTGTTCAAAAACATCGCTTCAGAAATGGATCAAGAGCGCCAAGATTAAAATCAGTAAAATATTACTTAACTACTACAGACTTGTCCATTCGTGTGTGTAAGAAATTTTTTAAAGATACTCTTCAAGTGAGTGAGGGGCGTATCTATAAACTGTCTTGTAGTACGAGGCCAGCTTCTTGCATAGACAAAAGAGGTCACAAAGAACCAACCAATAAAATAGACGTCACGAAAGTCAAGGAACACATCAAATCATTTCCTTGCTATAAGAGCCACTATACACTTTGTGATGATCCAGATAGAAAATATTTAAATCGAGATTTAAATATTAGAAAGATGTATCAACTTTATAAAGAGAAATGTGAACAGAAAGGTTCAGAATCAGTCAAAGAAAAAATGTACTATCATGTTTTCTCTTCAAATTTTAATCTTCACTTCAAACCTTCATCTAAAGAAACCTATCAGTTATGTGATTCTTTGTATAATACCATCAGATTTGGTAATAACGACGAAGATATACATAAAGCAAAAACCGATAAAAAAATTCATCTCAGAAAGGCAAAACTAGCGAGAGATTCGCTTAACAAAGATAAAAATTTAGCTTATGAAAACATTTATGTTCTTACATTCGATTTACAAAAAGCTTTACTTTTTCCCAAACTAAGCACATCTGTTGCTTATTACAAGATGAACCTATATGTTTACAATTTGGGAATTCGTAGTTTTAACGACAATAAGGGGTACATGTTTATGTGGGACGAAACAGAAGGATCTCGAGGTTCACAAGAAGTTGCCTCCTGCCTGACAAAACATTTAAAAATGAATGCAAAAAATTGTGATAATATCATTTTGTATTCGGACTGCTGTACAGGCCAGAACCGCAATATTAAACTAAGTCTATCACTGCTAAAACTTGTACAAGACCCTGAAATGAAAGCTCCTTCAATCGACCATAAATTTCTCACCTCACCTCATAGCTACCTTCCGAATGATGAAGATTTTGGGTTATTGAGACAAAGGCAAAGAAAATAGAGTTTATTTATGGTCCTGAAGATTGGATTAATTTAGTTGTCACTGCTAAAAAGACTAATTCATTTCAAATAATTGAAATGAAACGTGAAGAATTTCTTTCGACAAGAATGTTGGAAAATAGCATCATTAATAGAAAAATCGATACTACAGGCGGAAAAGTTAATTGGTTGAACATAAAATTGCTTAAATATTACAAAAATAAACTGGAATCTATTTTCTATAAAGAAACACTGCAAGAAGATTTCCGATTTAACGAGATAAACATTGCAAAAAAGTCCGGAAAGGGAAGACCACCTAAGTTCTTTAATAGTGTTCAGGAGCAACTCTACCCAAATCGCAGACCTGTCAAAGACTTAAAAAAAACACATGTTTGATTTGCTTCCTTGCATTCCACCACACTACCACGAATTTTATAAAAATTTGCCAATAACACAAAAGGCTAATCCTCGTCCTTCAACTTCAATGATCGGCCAACTTGAGTCTAATAACGACAGTGAAGCTTCGGATAATTACATAGACTAATAATTTTGTTTTACCGTTGTTTTATTTTTTAGTTCAGTGGACACCTAGCATAAGTCATTTTTTTCTTGTTTAAACGCATTAAAAAAGAAAAACGCTTTTCATTTTTATTAAATTTTCTTATATTTAAGTTTATTAGTATGTTACATTTCAATAAAAATTATTATTAGTACTTATATGGGAGTCGTTATTTTATTACAACAAGTTTTGAAACAAGTTAATTGTCTCAGATTTTATATTTAGTAGCTTAACCTGATTGGCTTCTGAGCCCTCCATATATATACACGTTATACTCCCTAACATAGTGTAACCATAACACAAATAACACCTAAGTTCCAACTTTTCTGTATTCCCCATCGTACAGTATCCTATTTTCACTGTCTATCCGAATCTATTTTTTCGTTAATTAAAAGTTTGGGTTCCTTCACTACTACTAAAGATTTAGTCCTAAATGTTGTTATTTTTAGATCTTATATTTCAGCCGCTCTTTTGAATGTTTGTACCATTCGCTGTCAGTTGTCTTCTTATCTGAGATCAGGATTGCGTGGTCTGCATTACAAATGGTTTTTAATTATTTTCTGCCCAGCTTGCATCCTTATATTCATTTTTAGTTTTTTCTATCATTTTGTCTGAAACTTATCTAGTTTAGATGATATTTCATTCTTGACTGTAATTTTTGTTTAGTTATGTTGTTTATTTTAGTCATATTAGTTAATGTTGTGACGAGTAGGTCTATTAGACACCAGAGTCTGTAAAACATAAGTTTAATCTGAATAATCTCTGTTGATACCTGCGAAAAATAAGTATTAGCGATGCTAGGACGGGTGAAACAAAAATACGATGTATTGGTCAATGCCCAAACATCAGGTAAGGCTAATCAATACTTAGTCTACGTTAGCAATGGCAGAATCGATCACTACTCGACTTGAACTCCCAGAGCGGTTGGCTGTTCAATACTCAAAGGCCCGGGTTTGAGATCTTATCAGCTCAGTTCTCCAGCTCGAACTCGGTTTTCTGTTGCGGTGGACGACGTTTGATACGTCTGCCGGTGTTCCATCTCTAGCACACATCGACAGTAGTGGTAGGTTTTCGGTGGTGTTATCGTTACAGTGTTAATGTCTTGAAATACCTTTACCATTATGTTGTACACTTCCCGTCATATAAAACTGGTACACTTTTTTTTCCAAATGTAAACCAGTGTTCAGACTGGACACAATGGTTCGTGAATCAATTCGTTGTTGCCATCACAGATAACGGAATTGCACTAAATCGAAATAAAAAAAATAACGTTTAAAAATTTATAAAGTGTTTAAATAGATATTATTTTTATCATTAACAACAAAAAACGGTATCTAATAAATCTAAGAACCAGAGAGACGGTTGAGTTAATGTCCAAAATGTTTGAAGAATTTTTTAATAATGGAGATATGTCAAAATATTAATATTTCAGCAGTTTTGAATTGTAATACATATTTTTAAATTCCACACTTGTTCACTTGTAAAAGTTATTTATTTTGTATTAATTTTAAATTAAATTATTGATTTTTCACGTGTGTTTTATTTATTCTAGTGTGCCACAGCTCAATACAGTTTTGTGCTACACTTTACGAGAAACGAATGACACCTCTCGATTTGAAGTTAAACATAATTTAAAGTCATATCAAGATTTTTTATTGTCTTGAACATTATTTTGAATTGAAATATTTTCATAAATTATAATAAAACACGATTCAAGCCTTACTTTTAGCTGGTTTGATATAATATATTCGTTGTTCTGACAACGTTGCCCTAAAAATAAGAATGACATATATGACAAGGTCAACTTACACAGCTTGAAATACACGATTTTCGGTTATAAGAGTTGTACCAGTTTTTTATGACGGGAACGGTACTAGTTTTTTTTTCTTTAAGTAATTGTAAAAAAACTAAACTAACGCAGTCAAAGGCTTTAGTTACATCTAAAAAGTGCATATAAGCAGGTTTGTTATATTCCAATGCTTTCTCACGAATTTGTCTTGGTATGAATGTAGCATCTACATTTTATCTACTTTTTATTAATCTTTTTAACTAAATTTAACAGTTGGACAAGGTGACTGTACGATAATTGGTACAGAACATCAGAAATACGACTAGAGCTTTCAGATCGTATAAGAACAGGTCTAAGGAGTGTTTTTCGACCTTAAGATGCAGATAAAGTTTGAGCCACGCAGACTGCTTCCAAAAAAAACAATAGAATAGATGCAACGAATGATGTATTTTCTGTACTCAATCCTGTTTGGCAGTTGCTTTTGTCTAAAAATAACTTTCATGACAGTATTCTGAAAGTACTAGGTATGATTCTCTTCATATTAGGCGTTATAGCAACATTGGAAGCTCTGTATAAGTATAAATCCTAATTTTATCTCATACTAGTGTCATCAGAATCAGACCAAAAATTAACAAAACCAACTCTAAAAGTACCCGTTACAACCACATCGAGATAGAAACCAAAACTAGAGTACAATTAGAATATTCTTACAGAAAACATTGACACACTTAGCAATGCTTATCCGCAGCTCAAAGAAGGAATCTAAGGAACAGGCACTAACAAGGTCATCATATCATGACAAACTCCAAGGTTTCTGTTCTCGTGACAAGACAATTTCAAAAAGGAGCAAATGTGCAACTTCATACTCAAAAGATGATGATAGACCTTCCAAAACTGGTTAACAAGGATCTATCAGCAGAAAGTGGTGTCCGAAAATGAAATAGGGCGCATAAAAATGGCGTAATAAAACTTATAAATGAAGCTCCAAGAGCTTCTCAATATGATGGTTGTCGACATGACTGAGTATGTTGAGTTCAAATGTGCTCAGGAAAAGTCACTTAATACCAACAAAAGTTTTCTTGAAGAAAAGATCTTGTGAATAGCTATGAACTTTAGTTTAATCTGGGACTGTTATCCGAAATAATCTATGTATTCCTGATGTTTTGTCTGCAATCTGTCGATAATACAATCAATACAAACAAAACGTCAAGACCACACAATTTCGGAACACGACCTATACATTTCGATAACAATATACCTTTACTAAACACTGACCGTGAAGGCCGTTGAAATGTCTCTGTAACTTTTAACAGTAATTATAAGCATGAGTTTCAATTTATTTGCTGATATATGCTGATAATTTATCTTACCTGCATGGTAAGGTCTTGGATTTGTCTTTGAAGATCTGAGAAATTTATATTACTAAGCGGAGTTTTACCATCTATTGCATAGTGTGGTGTTGAAGGAGCACTGCCCAAATCATCAAAGTCTAAAAATGAAGAAAATAAATTAAAAAATAAATGAAAACTGGAAACTATTTTGTCAATTTTACAAATTTAAATAATGAACTCGTGTAAATTTGTTCATGTTGATTCTTATTTATGAAATGAATGATATCAAGATATTATGATGTGTGGAAGGTAATAGTCAATTCCATACACGGTTTTACAAGTACCTCATCGATTGCCGTGACATATCGGTAAATAAATAGAAAATAAGTCAAAGAACAAAATTTATATATCATCAATGTGTGCTTTTTACGATGGCGGTGAATTCACCACTTCTCGAGGGTGAAAATGTTGATTTTTTTATGTATTTGTTTTGGGTAGTTTGATATAAATAACTCGAAAACCTTCCACTATAACAAACAAAAAGTAAGAATAGAAAATTAACCTCTTGAAAAAAGAAATCCATTGTTTTTTTTATTTCTTACGGTGCAATATGAAGTTACCGTTAACAAAGTTTAGGTAGTATCTGCCTAAACCGGAAGTCAAACCAGTCACAATTAAATATAATATGGGAGGATTTTTCGAAAAAATATTTTTGAAAATAGTTGCAACAATTAGAATGAGCTTTGATAAAAGTAGTTAGCGTTCAAAAATACGACGTTATTATAAAAACAAATGGTAAAAACAGAGATATCAGCAGAACTTCTGAAATATGGGGGAGACGCACTACATCGCCAAATCCACCAGCTAATAACGCACATATGGTTAGAAGAAAGGATACCAGCACAATGGAAGGAAAACATAATAGTGCCCATCCACAAAAAAGGAGACAAAACAAAATGCGCGAATTATAGAGGAATCTCACTCCTAAACAAGGCATATAAAACCCTCTCAAACATCATTCTTACTAGACTAATCCCTTATGCTGAAAATGTCCTAGGCGAATATCAAGCCGGGTTTAGGGCAAACAGATCAACAATAGATCAACTATTTACGCTGAGACAACTTCTAGAAAAGAGATGGGAGTATAACAGACCCATACACAATCTTTTCATAGACTTTCGCCAGGCATATGATAGCGTAGAAAGAAGCCAAGTATGGAATGCCATGGCGGAATTCTCAATACCAAAGAAACTCATTCGGATGACCAAAGTCTGTATGGAGGGTGGAATATCTAAAGTATGTGTAAATAATAAACTATCTGGCAGCTTTGAAATCAACAGTGGACTTAAACAGGGTGATGCGTTATCTCCACTACTTTTAAAGCTTGTATTAGAGAAAGCCATGAGGTCGACCAAAATAAAAACAGAATTGCTATCGGTTTAAGGTCCTAAGCTGTTACTCGTATAGGCAGATGACATAGATCTCATTGGAGACTCCATCCTATCCACGAAAGACATTTTCAACAAGGTGGAAGGAGCAACAAGTGAAGTAGGGCTGAAGATTAATAAAGAGAAGACGAAATATATGTGTATAAATAGAACGACAAGAAGAGACAGAATAGGACAAAATATGACGGTCAACAACTTCAATTTCGAAAGAGTACAACGTTTTAAGTATCTGGGGGCCGTAATCACAGCTGACAACGATGTTACTGAAGAAATAAAAGACAGAATCCAATCTGCAAACCGTTGTCTATTTGCACTGGATAAGCTCATAAAATCAAAAAAACTCACAAGAAGTTCAAAGATCAAAATCTATAAATCCATCGTCAGACCTGTAATAACATATGGATGCGAAACGTGGACCATGACCAAAGCAAACGAAGAAAAGCTCAGACGCTTTGAACGAAAAATTTTCGGACCTCACCATGACATCACCACAAACCAGTATAAGATCAGAACCAATATCGAATTAAAAGCCCTCTACAACTTCGCCGATATTGTCCAAGATAATAAATCACAGCGACTAAGATGGGCAGGCCACGTGCACAGACTACATAACGAAAGACTTATAAAACTGGTATGGGAGGAGATTCCCACAGACAGAAGACCACTCGGACGTCCCAGAATGCGATGGAGATATAACATCCAAGCAGATCTTCGGAAAATGAACATTCCACTTGACCCTAGGTTGATGGAAGACCGAACAAATTGGAAAAAAGTTGTACAGTCAGCCAAGACCCACTCAGGGTTGTAGCGCTACGTGATGATGATGAAAAACGGAGTAGAATTTAAGTACTTTACTACAAAAATCTAACACATTCCACGTAAAGTTTGATTTTATTTAAAATCAATTTTTAAAATTGTTGAGAAAAATATTTCATTTTTCAAAATATCCTGAAAACTAAATATACTTAATATGAAACAAATAACAAAAATTTAGACATTTTTCTGCCAAAAGCTTTTTTTTGTTGTTTTTCTAGGACAAAAACTCGTTGACGATAATGCCGTTTTAAATTTGCATTTCAGTATAAGAACTACCCTTTAAACCCTACAATCTCAAAAACTAATTACTCAAAAAAGTGTAATTTTACACATCTTATAGCTCTGATAATTACCAGCAAAATAAATTTTGGGGCAACTAAATGTCTTAAATATTAGAGCAGTTATCTCATGTATGATATCCATTGGAGGAGTAAAAGAAGGATTGGTTTGGAGTCAATTGTAAACAAAGCCTGGACAAAAAAAAACAAAACAAGAGAAAAATATATTAACAACCCAAATGAAGAAAATAAAAATGAATATAAACTTGGCAAGAAAAAGGCAGAGATATGTGTAGGAGTAAAAAAAGAAAGGATTGTGGAAAAATTTTAACATCTGACAAATAGGTAAAAACATAGACTAAAATTGAAAACACTGACAAAACAAAAAGCCATCTCATAAGGAAGGCTTTATAACTACAGTTCATATTATGGAAAAGCATTTTTTCAATGAAAATTTACAAACATTAAATGGAGCTCTAAGCTCAAATTAATAAAAAAACGAACACTTATTTATGGCGAATATGAAACTAATAATATTTTTTAATTCTCTTTGTCTTTATTGCTATACAGGCTCAGCTTTCAATCTTTATTACTGACATGTTCTCTCCAAGCACCTCCCACCAGGCCTTTTTTCATGTTCCTCTTAGTACAAGATCCCATTGCAGAATCACTACATTCATACTGTAGTTATATCATCATAATGAGAAAAAATTTAGCTTTACTGTGATAGAAAAAATATGCAAACATGTTATGGGCAGTGTACTTTATTTGAAAAATAAATGAATGAAATAAAATATTTGTCAAAATCTAATTAATTACTATTAATTGAATTAAAAATATTTAAAGCCACTTTTTGACTGGCAACCTATTATCAATATGCTCTCCTAATGTTAGATGCATATAAAAATTAGAGTTTGATTAACTATGTTATGAACATAGTGATCCTGCAGTGGGGTCTTAGGCTATCTCCTACTCCTTGCAGGAACTTGCAGAGTTAAAACTTTTCATGTTTAATAAATCAAGAAATATATTTTCCTTTAAAAGCCTGGATACAAAAATAGATATTTAAAATGTATGGGAAACATACATTTCTTCATGGAACGAAGAAAAATATCGAATTCTTCAACTCATTTTGCAGGGTAAGGTATTTGGCAAGAGAGGACTGGGACCCCGTCGTATCTCATGGTTAAAAAACCTCCAACAATGGTTTGGGATGACCTCCACGAAGCTGTTTTGCAGAGTAGTCAACAAAACCATGATAGCCTTAATGATCGCCAACATCCAGACCAGATAAGGCACTGAAGAAGAAGAAGAAGAAGAAGAAGAAGAAGAAGAAGGGAAACATTACCACATAAAACTCATAATAGAGATTTGTCAATGTTTTACATTATCACAATATCTGTATGTATCTTCTTTAGTTTTAGAAAATATAATTTCTGTTAGATAAAAAATAAACATTGTGAGTCTATGTATGTACTTTAATTTTAATACTAACTAATAATTTTATATTAAAAAAAAGATTCTCATGCTATCTTTTTAAGAACATCACTGACTAAATTGAAACTGAAGACAAGGTTTTCATGGTAAGCTTAGGAATTTTAGAATATGCATTCAGTTAGGAAAAAGCATATTATTATACCTCCTATTAAAATAGGTAAGATTTCAATGTTTTAATTATAAAATAAATGTTCATTAGACATTGGTGGAATCCAAGAGCTATATATTCACAAATAACTTGGTTTACTCAACTTGGGAATATTTTGACAGATTCATTCTAAGGAATATACAATACAAAAATTCCTACCTCTCCACTATTAATAGCCCAGATAAACTGACTGTTGCAGCCTTTTTAATAAAAAAAAAGAAGAATAAACATGAATAATGGTAGTGTGTATTCAATAATTTTCATTTGAAAATACTAATCTATAAATGACTATAAAATTAAAAAAAAAATAAACATGTAAACTTTTGTTGTAAGTAATTGATTCAATTTTATTTTGTTAATAAATGTCATGTGAATAATTTTACTTTAAGTTATAATTGAATTGGTGAGTTGAAAAAGGTACACATTCCAAATTGGCTTTCTTGCAGGAACAAAAAAAATTGTTTATCTGCAAAACTAAATATGGTACAGAAAATGTTTCAGTTACGATCTTTACAATTATGAATTTGTCAAAGTTCATAACTGTACATTTTCTGTTACATATGTATTTAGTTTTATAAATAAACAGCTTTATTTTTGGTTCCGGAATAGCCAATTTGGAATGTGTACTTTTTTCAACTCACTGATTCAATTAATACTGGCTATGGGCACTTGTGCTTGGTTATATAGTAATTTCCAGTCACTTCCAGTAGGTCAATATTTCACAAACAAATTAAAACAATAATTTAGTAGACAGTTAAGATTCAGAACAGTGAAACAGGTACATTAATAAATGCTTTAAAAAGTAAAGATATTAGTATCCTTACCATACATCAGCCAAGGTTCCAGTTCTCCAGGCTTCAAATACACATCATCATCCCACAAAGCAATTGTAGACTCAGTTAATATTTTGGGATCTGGCTTCTGCAGCCTTATATAATTTATTAATTTAATATAAGAGTAACAATCCATGTTGTATTTATTTTTTAAAGCAAGCAAATCAAATTTGTGTTCTGTTCTACAATGGACTAGAGCTACAGCAATTGTATGAAACTGCAAGGGGCAAAAAAGACAGGTTGTTTGTTCCCCACTAACTTCCATTTCATCCCAACCATCAGAATCATCTTCTTCAAGTGGTGGACCTCCAGAAGCAAGGTCTGAATATGGGATTCCATCTAAAAACAAATTCAATATTACTCAAATATAAAAAAATAAAGGTAGTAAAAGACCTTAAAAGTACCTTTGTACATTCCACTGTCTGTGGCTCTGTCTAAATTATATCTTCAGTAAGAAACAAAAAGAGTTAAAGCCCCATGTTACAGCTGATCTTATAACATGTAAAACGCAGTATAAAAATAAAAAATAATTCTCTTTTAATGGTGTAAATGTATTACCGTCTAAAGTGGTACCACATAATTATTAAAATATTTTTTAAAATTATCAATATGATTCAAACTTACCATCTTCAAAGGACATTCTAGTTTCAATGTTGGATTGGATTTGTTTATATGGAAGCACGTGTAAGTTTTTTTAGGTTATAAAAACAGAATACGTTAACGATAATTTTAAAGAAATGTAAATTTGGTAGCAATAAAACAAAGAAGAACAAGATTAATAAAATGTAAATTAACTGGAGTTAAGATTATTGATTTAAATTTTATCCCGGTCCTGTATAAAGTCAAATTTATAATGTCGGGAGTGTATATTTTACCATTGGTGTTGTCCATTCCATTGACAAAAGAAAATGCGAAAACCATTCCATGGGGAAATATCAGAAGATATTGAAATATTTACTATTTATCTAAATTACTACCACCATAATTTATCAAAAAATGAAAAACTCAACCAACAAGACTGGATATAAAATTCCAAATCAACACAGATTTCGACCCAGTTCAAAATATACTATTTAATCGTCAAATCTCAAATTCAAATTAAATAATGATGTATTAAGATTATTGAGCTTTTATAACTAATTATAATATATGTTAATATCAGTTACCGTCATTATATGGGACGTTTGCCTATTCTGAGAAAGTTAAGAAGGATATAATAACCAATTATTCAATTAATTTGACTCCAATTAAAACCAATTAAAAGTGACGCCAAATCCAGATCAACAACAAGAAAGGGAGATAGATTACGTGGATTGCAATGCAACGAAATTATTTTAAGAAATAAAACAAGAAAACACACTTGTGCGAAATATAAAAGAAAGAAATTCTTCATAAATAAGCAGCTTAAAGTGCAGTAATATAAAGCTAATACAACTAAAATATATATTTTAAGCTAATAAAAGCAAAACAAAACAAATATTAAGTAAAAAACAAAAAATTTATTGTAATTAAACAATGTATTACAAGATACAATATCTGAATTGGGAGTATTAGTCACCTCCTGAAATTCGAAATGACATTTTGACATTAGAAGGAGAAATTTGTGACCATAGTTTGTGACAGTTCATGTAAAAGAATATAGGTTATATTTTGTTTTCACACGTGCAAACAACAGAATATTTCCTCAATTATTTAAAAAGTTATAAAATTATGGCAGGACATGGAAGTAAGTTTCTAGCTTAACCTTAGGAACCTTTTTTAAAGAAGTTAAATTGAATAATTTTAATATTTTTAGAAAAGAAAACACCTCTGTCTAAGGAAGAAGTTAAAGAGAAACTATTAGCAAAGAAGAAAGAATCAAAACAGTTATTAAAAGAAAAAAGAGCTCGATTAGTAGTAAAGAACTTATCATTTAAAGTAACCCCAGAAAAGTTGAAGAAGTATTTTGAAAAATATGGAGATGTCAAATCTGTTGAACTGCTTAAGAAACCAGATGGCAAACTTACTGGATGTGCTTTTGTACAATTCACTCTTGTACAAAAAGCTGCCAAAGCTAGGCATTACACAAATGACCAAGAGTTTTTGGGTAGAAAAATTCTAGTTGATTTTGCAAAAGCTAAGAATAAATATCAAAAGGAACAGCAGTTAAAGAAAGTGGAAATAAAAAATGAAGATGGTACTAAAGAAATTGTTGAAATAAAAGAAGAGGAAGATGATGATGTATCAGTAAAAAATGAGAATTTAGAAGATCAAGTAATTAAGGATGAATCTGAAAATAGTGATTCTGATTCAGAAAAATCTGATAAGGAAGATCTCAATTCTGATGAGGAGGAAGATAATGATATAAAAGAGGAGAAACCACTGGATAGTGCAAGGAAACCATACTTAAGTCATGATGTATCAGAAGGGAAAACAGTGTTTGTGAAAAATGTACCCTTTGATGCTACTAATGATGATTTGAAACAGTGTATGAGACAGTTTGGACATATATATTATGCTCTTGTTTGTATTGATAAACTCACAGAACATTCCAAAGGAACAGCATTTGTTAAATTTGTTGTAAGTATATACTAAAACATATTTTGTCATACATGACTAGATTTTCTTCGATATTCTGAGCTTATGGGTTGGTTTAGACCAGTTCTGTTTTTAGTAGCATATTATCTGCAGTAAAAAGATGCACTATTTCAATAAAACCATCTCTATTAAGCTCATAGTGTCAGAAATTAGAATAATTCCATTCATAGACTTCCATTTTTTTTCTGTAGTTGTTAATTTGAACTAGCATATCTGTAATGATCTCAGATCTTTTACTTAAACCTATTCCTGCAATCTTATGCTTACTATGTTGACTTTAAAAACAAAAAATAATTTAAAATAGCTGACTGTGGCTACATGTTTTAATTGTTGTTTATCCACTCTGATTGTTCAATACAGCAGTGGATCCAAGGGGGGTCACAGGGGGTCCCAAACAAAATTAAATATCAATCAAATAATTCTTAAACAAAATAATTTAATATTGTTCTGAAGCTATTTTCTTGTGGCATTGTAAATTAATTACTATTAAACTGGGAATAAGCCACAATTAAAGATAAAAATACGTTGTATTTTGTTGTATACGTTGTGTTTGTATTTTGAATACAAACAGTAAATTTACTGTTTGTATTTTGAAAGCGATTTCCGAAGTGGAAATTGAAACGTCAATAAACATATTTTTATCTTTAATTGTGGCTTATTCCCAGTTTAATAGTAATTAAAATAATTTAAAACTCATGAACCCTATAAGCAGGAAGTCAAGAGTTTGAAATGATTCAAACTTATTTATTCTAGGGGTAAGTGTAGAATAATGCAGAAGCCTTTTTACATTACTCTTGAAAACTTCCGTGAACTGACTTCCGTGAATTCAGAGTTACACAATTTTCAAATTTTGTCAATTCGTCATTTGAGTGCCAGAGAATCATTTGATTTTATTGATGAGATAAAATTTCTTATTTTCAGTTTTGTCTACGAATTGGTTGTTTGTGATTTGAATATGTAGTCTAATTGTTGAGACTGTGTGCTACATTTTATGATTTATCTATAATAAATATCAAAGTGAATATTGTTGTTGCATTAGCTCTATCTGATATGTTAGTGGATACAAATAAAGGAACTGGGGGCTGCTGCCTAAGGTATTTATGAAACTCATTGGGTTGAAAGGCATGAAGGTCATCTTCAGTTCCAAGACAAATCAGTCATCAAATTATACAACGCTCTTGAAGCAATTTCTATGCCGAAGGACAGTAAAATGTCATCTGATCCATTTTCATTAATGCAAACTATTAGGAGCCCAAAACTTCTCATTTCAATAGTTTGTCTTAGTGAAGTTTTAGGTACAACTCTATCACAGTTGTCTTCTTCAGTCACCAAAATTGGATTTGAAGAAGGCTACTGAGGCTATAAAGGACACTAAATGCATTCTTCAAAAAAAAAAAAATCAAATGCTGAATCTGTTTTTAGCAAACTTTACTATGAAGTAAAGGAAATAGCTGGATAACTAGACATCGAATTGAACATACCTCATATAGTTTCTCGTCAAAACCAACCTGCTAACTCTTGCGAAGCGTATTTCCGAAGATATATTTATTTACTCCTATTAGACAATATCTTAACTGATTTAGAAGAACGACTTTCACCGAAAGTTATGAATCTATTTAATCTTCGAATTGTTTTACCTAAAACTGATAACACACTAGAAGATAAAGTTGCATTAAAAAAAATTGTTGACACCTTCCAGGATAGAATTGGACCATCTACTGCATATTCCACAGTAGAACAAGAGTTTTCAGTGTGTATTCAAAAGTGGAAAAGAGTCATGAAAAATAATGGAAAACTTCCTGATTCTATTTTAGAAGTATTAGAATATTGCGCTATTCATATGTATCCAAATATCAGAATATTTCTGCAAATATTGATTACACTGCCAATCAGTGCAGCAACAGCAGAGCATAGTTTTTTTAGTCTTAAGTGTCTAAAGACTTAGCTTAGAAATAGAACTTCGGAGGAAAGGTTAACTGGTTTAGCACTTGTTAATGTGCATCCTGAAATTTCTCTATATGTTGATGTAATCATAGAGTGATTTGCTAAATCGGATAGGCGAAAAGAATACATTTTATAAAACTATATATTTTTTTATCTTATTCTTATAGTATTTTTAATCACTGATCTTTTATTTACCACTCATTGCCGTCTGTTGCTGACAATTTGTGAGAAAGATTTCAATACTGAGTAAAAAAATATTTCACTCACTTGTAGCCTAATATGCCTAATTAAAGAAATAACTATTCTTAAATTATATTGTTTTTTGTTGAATAAATGAATTTAAATAAAATGCTGTTTACACTTCTTCTTAAGGTTCATTCTTCATTATGGAAAGATGGCTACAACTACAGCAAATTGCTCTCTATTTCCAGTTGTTCTTAGTATTGAATGTGTATCGATGCCTGTCCAGTCTCTTACATTCTTTAGCCAGGAGCATTTTGTTCTTCCTGGACCTCCTTTTTCTTCTACTTTTTCTTCCATTATGAGTTGTAGAAAGTTATATTTTTCTCCTCTGTAAATATGTCCTAGATAACTCGTTTTTCTGTTGTTGTCACATGCTCTGTCCACCAAATCTTCAGCATCCTTCGAAAAACACACATTTCAAAGGCTTCTATACTTCATCTAATTTACATACCAATGCACGTCATTATCTACTTCAGAGATCGATGTTGACATAGTTGCCAAAGTATAAAAAAATCCTGACTCCATTTTAAATCAAATAGATCACATAATTATTGCAAAAGTATTACCATCTCTTTACAACGATTATTTAAATTCTTACGTGACATTTTTGAAATAAAACACACTAATTTTGTTCTAAAAAGAACAGATTTTATTATATAGGTAAAAATATAAAACAAGAGTATTCACTTTAAAATTCAAAATAATAAAGTACAAAAAGTGTCAACACCGCAACTGTCAAATATGTGTTACCAATTTATGCCAAAATTTCACCTCGATTACAGTTACAGTGTGTTCCGAACAAATGTTCTTTATAAAAACGCTTTACAATGCATTTATGCAAATTAAATGAAACATATTATTGTGCATTTCTTTAAGTTAACATTAATAGAAATTTTTAAATATTATTTCTACGCTTATATAATATAATATGTCTAGTGGCTGTAATGCCAATGTACTCGGCAAAGTGATTCTAAAAAAGAACACACCTTTCGCCTAAATATTTCGTATTGGTATCATGTGACGTCACCGGCTATGACGCCGATGACGTGCATCGGTATGTAAATTAGATGAAGTGTATACTCCTCATACTAGTAATTCCGAGTCCATGTTTCCACTCCCTAAAGCAATAAGGAATAAATAAATGTTTTTACAAATTGATATCGGATATCCAATGATATGAAAGAATATGAAAAATGGGGCCTCAATATGAATATGTCAAAGACAGGAGATGACGAAGATGTTATGTTTTAAGATGTTATCTTAAAATAGGAGATGACGAAGAAGATCCAGAGTTAGAAATTAGAAAGACAAAAACATGCAGTGAATATAAATATCTTGGATCTATAATATCTAAGGAAGGCACTACCAAAAGAGACATCGAAAACAGGACGCAGCAGGGAAAAAAGCAGTTAACATTCTGAACTCTCTACTATGGTCTAAAGATATTAGACAAGAAACAAAATTGACAATCTATCGAACCTTGGTAGAGCCTATTATGACTTATGAGGCAGATCACGAAGAAAGATAGAAAAAGAACAGAAGTAATAGAAATGGATTTTCTTAGGAGAGCGTGTGGTGTATCCAAAAAAGATCATATCAGAAATGAAGATATTAGAAGGAGGACAAATACTGTATATTCCATTGTAGACAGAATTGAAACGAGACAACTAGTGTGGTATGGTCATGTGAAGCAAATGAATGAAGATAGATGACCAAAGAAAGCTTTAAATTACATACCACAACAAAGAAGAAGAAGGGGAAGACCATCAGATGCCTGGTAAGAAAATGTACGACACCTAATGAGAGATAGAGCCATCAAAGAAGACGAATGGATGGACAGAGAACGATGGCGGTCGAAATGCGAGAAGAAGCAGAGGCTGTAGGAACCTCGCTTTATGTATATATATATATATATATATATATATATATATATATATATATATATATATATATATCCACTGATAAGATAGAGTTTATTAGGAATGTTTATTATATACATTATTGTTTACACATACATTGAATTATTGCATTTAAATGACTTAACTTTGGTTTATACTTATTTATCCTTGGTTTGTTCTTGATTTTGTAGCCATAGGATAGGTGGGATTAAATTAATTGTCTTTAAAATATCTAGTTTAAGTTGACAGTCCTTGATTTTTTAGTATTTATATTTTATTAACTTTCCCTTGGAAATATAATAGTCATGTACACTTGATTTTACTGTCATAGAGTATGTGGGTTTAAATTATTATTATTTTTTTTTTGTTTAAGTTTAAGACCCCTTAATGTTGTACCCTTCTTTGTACCCGTATTGTATTTGGATTTTAATAACTTCTCATTGGTTTGATATATTGCTTAAAATAATTATTGACAAAATAGTTCCTTTACATGAGACACAAATCATATTAATTAGAAAGGTTCAAAAATCTAACCGACAAAAACTGCTGGGGATCAGGCACTTGAAGGTGCAAAAATCTAAATCCTATATCAAAATCACCCTCAAGACCCATGACCCCCCCCCTGACAAACATTTCTGGATCCGCCACTGGTTCAATAATTGAAATATTTTAAACTTGAATACAATTACTATAAATTATTAAATAATTTGTATATGACAGATTTGTCTACTGACACTATCACCTATTACCATTACTGTTCTATTACTATTTTAATTTTTTCTTACCTTTTTTTTTGGATGAGAATCTTCTAAAGAGATCTGGGAAGAGGACCCAGATACTGTTGGATTCGTCTGAACTATAACGTTGGAATGTTGATAAGGTTAGTTCAGGCGCCTACCAACTAAACTCACCCTCTCTTCCAGCAGCGCACCCGGAACTTTTCTTGGCGAATGCAACTTCGGGAGCACCACCGCGGTCTCCAATTTTCACGAAAACCTAGTATAGTCCTCGGTAGAGAGTCTCAAAGGTAGCTGAGTGACATAATAACAGTATAAAAAACAATATAAGTAAATAAATAGGACAGTTACACTATAAAATTAGTACAGAACGCTGAAGTATGTGTCTAATGAGCAAAAAACGCGAATTACAATTATTTTATTAGTCTTTCAGCCTATTCCTTCATCCTGTCTCGCTCTTTCTAGCGTCTCTTTTTTTTTATGATTTCCGTTATTATTTCTAACACATAATCATAGTTCTTTCTGTTCTGCATAGCTAAGTCCAGTATATTATTGGGCGTGACCTCTCCTAGCTTAATTCTCAGTCTTTGACGTTCTTGTAGAAAGACATTACATTCGAAAATGCAATGTTCCGCGTCATCAGTCACACCACAATCCATACAGATATCGTCATTTGTTTTTTTTAATTCTGTATGTATACGACCTAAAAGAACCGTGTCCGGTCAGGAATTGTGCAAAGAAATAGTTTATTCTCTTTTGTGCAAAGAAATTTTTATGTTTTCGGCAGCTAATCTTATTTCATCTATGGTGAACTCGTCAGGTCTATTATCTAGAGTATATGGTAGAAATTGGCATTCGGGCTTATTAGGAAAAAGGGCTTTCGCAATTTCCTTTCTTTTTTCTACACAAAGGTTATATGGAGCCTCGGACCTCAGTGTCTTAGTGGCAATTTTATAGGCTTCACCCCATATATCGTTGTCCAGCGTGTCACACAGGTTCTGCCAGCATGTGCGTTTAGCCCGCTTTATTTCTTTATTTAGTTCTTTCTTTACGCGCTTATATTTTTCCAAGTTTTCTTGGGTCCTGTTCCTTTGTGCTATTCGCCTGACTCTGAAACATTTTGTTCTTTTAAGCTGTATCTCGTCGTTCCACCAATAGGGTACAGTATATGTGACACATTTTTCCTTGCTGCTGCTTCTGTATGCATGTATTAGGTTTTTATGGTAGTTTGTGAAGTTAGTAGCTTCTTCTCGTAGGTTGCTAATTTTATTTTTAAATAGGTCTTTGTTAAAACTTATCTTTTTCCTACCGCTCTTCGTGACCTTGATGCCAATCTCGTAAACAATATATCTGTGAAAAGTAAAAATGTTTTCGTCAAGAACGTCCCAGTTAGATATTTGATTGGCATAACTTTCGTTTACGAGGGTAATGTCTATGTGGCTTCGGCTTTCACCCCGGACAAAAGTAGGTTTTCCATTATTTAGCGCTGTTAGATTGGCCGTAGAGATCCATTCGTTCCATAAATCCCCTCTATAGTCATTTCGTGGGGAACCCCATAAGATAGATTTAGCATTTATGTCGCCAGCGACTATAAAATTCTTTTCTATATGTGACATTTGTATTATGGATTCAATGTGCTGTTTGTATTGACTCACCTATGTTGGGTGAGATATAATAGGCAATAATAGCTACTTTTTCTAATTTGATTAGTACGTGCCCCTCCCCTTTTATAATCTTATTTATGCACACTTTATGATTTATGGGGTATATTGCTACATCTTCCCTGTTGTCTGTAATCCATCTGCTATTTTGGATGATTCTCTTGTTTGGTTCAGGTACTATTAGAATATCTGCTCCAATTTCGAGGGCTTTCGCATGAATCAGATCATGTGCAACCTTGGCTCTTCCGATGTTCACGTGTAGAATTTTTAGTCTTTTTAACCCGGTTAAAGCCATTTTGAAATAATTACCTTAGTATCATGTGTTAAAGGTCACATAGGATGACGGAACAGGCACTTAGACTGAAGTTGTCGAACTCCCTGTGACAACGTCACTACACTAAAGGTAGCTGTAGCTTCGTCGCACAGAGATTTGGAGGACTCCAAAAGGGAGTTAACATGAACCTTGTTTGGAGAAGGGAAAGGAGGTATGGGAGTGAGCGTAGGAGGGAAGACATCCGCGTATTCTTCTTGCTGTTTTCTAAGTTTCTCATGATATCTCGCCTCCTGAAGGGCCTTCTTAAAATGTGTGCAGTCCATACTGCCAGTTCTATGGGCCTCATTACAAAGAACGCACCTTTCTTCCTCTTGACACTTCTCTGCTTCGTGCTCTGATTTACCGCAACGGTAACACATACCACTCCTATCAGGGCCTCGACATTTATCGGTGTCATGCGTGTATGCCCAACATCTGCTACATCTTTTTATTTTTAGTCTTTTCTCGACTCTGCATCTACATACCCCAACTCTGAGAAAATCTCTGCGCAAAAGTATTTTAGCTACTCTCGCCGGGATGACAATTGTTGTGGCAAGGGTGTTGCCCCTCAGTGGTCGCATCTTTCCTATCTTGTAGTGGTCTTCCCACTTACCTATTTGCTCTTGGAATGCCTCGATAACCTCCTCCGTCGTGGCATCCTCTGCCATGCCTCTTATATGTATGGTTTCCGTTATGTGTTCTTCTCCTATTTGGAATGCTCTGAGACCTTCCTCTGTTGTTCCAAGGGCAGTTTTTATTTTTTGTAGTGCTGCTTGGTCTTTCTCCATGGTGATGAGAAGTTTTCCCTCTTTTGTGCTTCTGAGCGAGTGTACGGCCTCTGCTGCGCCAGTTGACTTTACAGCTGTTTTCACAGTCTGTAGTATGTTCTTATAAGCGGCATCTTTTTTGGTAACAATCATACCGTATGTGGCCCTCTCCTTCCGTTTGTTCGTAGTATAAATGTTTACAGTCACCTCTGTTTTTTGGAAAATTATTTCACACATTTTCCGGAGTTCATCTACCGACATGGCATTAACATGGTGGAGAGCGACCTTACCTTGTTGACCCACTTCTTCCTTCACCATGTTGATTTTTTCCCAGATTTGTTTTCTGTCCCCATTTTGTTTAATTTTTATTATTTTTTTGGTCTCCTTTGCCCATTTTGATTTAATTGTAGTGCTTTGCTCGAGTACTTCATAATCTGCTTCAAGTTCTGCCAACTCTGGGTATTTATCCCTATATAGCCTCTGAATACTGTTGCTCATTTGAGGGTCGTTTGGTTCTACCATGACGACCTTAACGATGTCGTTTCCGGTGGTAATAGGATTACCGATAACTACATTGGTCCTCTTGTATACCTTGTCATCCCATGTCAGGTTAGCCGTTTCTTCCCAGGTTTCAAAACTGTTGATATTATCTAATTTACTGATTCTTTTCTGGGAGCCTCCATGCCACGGGTCAGTTTGGGTGTCAGTGTCAATCGTCAGATTTTCTGCTGGCTCGTATTTGTGTTTGTTGAGCCAGTTCACAACTAGGTCTTTTTTAAAAGTAAGTGAGGTCTTCTTTAGACGGGGAATTTTTTCTTACCTAGTTCCCAAAATCTGTCTTTAATATCACCACAACTTACCATAGCAGATAGGCTGTAATTTTTGTTATCCACTACCACTGGTTTTGTTAAGTTACTTGCCTTAAGCTGGGTTATTGGACCTGAGTTTTCTCAGTTGTTTTAAAAACACCCATGGTTTTATTCACACTGGATATCAAACCTCAGACCTGATGGGCAATAAAGCCCTCTACTGTTTAAGCTCACAGGCCATTATATATAAATAAATACTCATACTCACTTTATAAGAATATATTACACCTAAAAAACAGTACTAGAATTATTTCCTAAAATGTTGCACCTGATATGACCAAAATGTTCCAATTGGAAATTGACGACATATTTTTTTTAAATAATTAACTTAGTTTTAATTTTGCAGAATGCTGAAGATGCTCAAAAAGCTTTAAGTGCTGGCACTGAATTAAAATTGTTGGGAAATATATTAGATTGTCATCCAGCATTGGATAAAGGTGATGTTAATAAAAAAGTTACTCAAGAGAAAGAGAGTAAGAATGTGCCAAAAGATTCTAGAAATCTATATCTTGTCAAAGAAGGAGGTAAGTTGTCTAGGTTTTATAACACAATTGCTTATAATCAACAAATTTCCTTTAGTACAGATATCAGTCTAAGCAAAATCATTTAATACTCTATCTAATATCTGTACGCTAAAGGTAAAGGACACCATGTAAATTTTTTAGCGAAATTGAGTTAACTTTATGTCCTTGATGTACATTTTCTGCTCTACAAAATGGTATAAAAACCCATGTCCAACTACTAAAAATTGCAAAAACAGCCAATGAGAAATAACTTCATGTCCTGATTAATTCAGTGGTAAACAACACTATGTGGACATCATGCTATAGATTTCTGAAAATTAAAAAGTTATAAAACATCATGTGAACATAGTATTGTATACTACTGCAGCTAGATTTGACTAAATAATTTTGGCAACAAACTTTTTGTAAAAATATCTTTATTTAATATGGAAAACCAAAAACTTCAATAAGCTATGGCTTTAATTAAATCAGAAAACTTAAAATAAAACAAAAAAAGTCAAAAAATAGCTCTCCTGAACATTTTTATTTTTGTGGCATGGTGTATACATATCATTTTAACAAACACTACAAACGACTGTAGATAGTAATATGAATTTTAAGTAAATTTTACACAAGATGCACCAAATTTATTTTTGAAACTTTTAACATGTAAAGAAAAACAAAACAAATAGATATCAAAGAAAAATCACGTATTATATTAAAGTTCTTCCACGGTACTACATCCCAAATTGAGCCTTGGTCTCCTTTTTTTTGCCTCCACCCTTCCTTGCCTGTGGCTGATCTCCATACACGCTGTTTACTGTGTTATATCCAAGTTACACAGTGGTATTCTAAACAAAGGCTTGGCAAACGTGTATCGCACTCGAAGAATTTCAACCATTTTGAAACAAGCCAGAACAACGAAGAATTCAAAGTTTGAGGAAGCTTTGTTTAAGTGATTTAAATAATAAAGTACAAATAATCTACCAATAAATGGACCAATTCTTAAACAAAGAGCAAACTGTTTAACGTTTTGGTGAAGATTTTTGTTCATCTAGTTGGATTCAACTACCAACCTTGTGGATAAAAGTGGTGTAGTAGAATATGGATGACATAAAAATAGTGTACATTATTCAAAGGCTATAGAACACATGACATTTTTAACGCAGGCGAAACACTTTTTTACAATTGGAGGAAAAATGTCCAAGACGAGACTAACAATTATGGTTGCAGCAAATATGACAAGATCCTGTAAAAGCGATGTAAAGTCATGGATAATAATAATAATAATAATAATAATAAAGGCCTTTATTCATCACATAATATTATTTACATAAATTAATATTCAAAAAGCTCCAGGCGAGTTTCAGTTCAGGAAATGTACAGTGCGAAGCACTGACACATCCTGTCTGTTCAGCTAACCTGGGCAAACAAATAATAAGAAATATCTAGAATTGTAACCAATTAATAGTACTAATATTTATATAAAAACGAAATCAAAATCATAATGTAAATTAAATAAATTTTAGTTAACTAAATGTAGGAAAATATAAAAATAATTAATCTAGCATTCAATTAATATGCGCCCTAAATGTAAGTTCTACTCATAATTATTTATATTATCAAACCTTACCTATGGAGTATGTCGTAATTTCTCAAAAACGAACTTTTTAAATTTGTTTTGAGTAAAATTAAGAGCAGTGGTATAATTATTCATAACTTGAGTTATATGATATGAAAAAGATCGCTTATAGTTCTGTGTACGATGATAAGGGATAGAAATGGTGTTTTTATGTCTGATGTTAATATTATGTACATCAGTACGGAATTTTATTTTATTATAGAGATATGGTGGGGTTTTAAAAATAATAATTTTTTGGAATTGACAAGCTGAATGAAAATGTCGTCTGAGTTTCATACTTAACCAACCTGTTTCTTTAAGTTTGTACAGATTTATTGTTATTAAGCCGAAGACAATGGCTAGAAGAAAATTGAGAAACTCTTTCTAAATCATAATTAATTGCAGCCACTGCCTGTTTAAACTCATCAGGCTTAAAAGATAAGTAGATCTGAGTGTCATCAGCAAAATAGTGCTGATTACAGGAGAGAAAATGAGCAGGAAAGTTTGAAGTATATATACTAAATAATTTGGGACCCAATATAGAGCCCTGTGGTACCCCTTTATTTGTTTTAAGATAGTTTGATGTCTTACCATTGTAATGAATAGCTTGACTTCTATTATTGAGATAGCTGAATAGCATATCAGATGCCCGCTTAGACATACCAATATACTTAAACATTGAAATCAACAGAGAATGGTCAAGTGTATCAAAAGCTTTGGAATAATCCAAAAGAATCAGCACTGTAATTAAGCCATTATCGCAACCACCAAATATGTCATCAGTTATTTTTAAAAGGGCACTAGTGCAGCTGTGATCCTTTTTGAAACCGGACTGATTTTCTGGCAGAATTTTATGTTTATCTAAGTGAACCTGTAGTTGCTGATTTAAAATTTTCTCTAGGATTTTTGAAAAAGTAGGTAGTATACTAATCGGCCGTATTTCATTAAAACCTGTCGGATTATTAGTTTTTGGTATCGGTACAATTTTAGCAACTTTCCACATCGATGGAAACTCTGCTCTTATAATGCAAACATTGATAATATGCGTCAAATACGGTAATAAAAACGGAAGGCACATATTAATTGTTAGTATATTTATTTTGTCGCATCCAGTAGCAGCACTCTTGATACTTTTAATGACATTTAAAACGTCACTTTCTTGGACACAAGAGAAATTTGCACCGATGTCCACACGAACATTATTATTATAAAAGTTGTTAATTGTTAAATCAGGATTCATATTAGGAATACAATTTATAAAGTATTCATTCATTGCAGAAATATCACTTAAATTTTCTGATAGTTGCTTAGTATTATCAGTATATCTACCAAGACCTATCATTTTTAAAGAATCCCAAAGATCTCTCCCGTTTTTATTATCCAATTTGTTTGAATAAAAGGCTTTTTTTTCTTTTCTAACAGCTAACGTAAACATATTTCTAATCGTTTTGTATTCCTCCCAAGTTTGCATGTTTTTGTATTTTTTATACGTACTCAGTATTTTGTCCCTTTCTCTTTTCATAATACGTAAAGTATCAGTCATCCATGGTGCATAATTTTTCGAAATTTTATAAGTTACGTAGGGAGCATGACGATCCAGTAAGCATATTATATTATTAGTAAGAAATTCAACTTTATCATCAATACTCTCAATATCAAAAATATTTCGCCAAGGTAGAGACTGTAATTCTTCATAAAATATGGTATGATCTATTGCCTTAAAGATTCTGACAGTTTTATAAACAACTTCTTTCTTTTTAGTTTCTATGTTTATTTTGGATATCAACAACTCATGGTCCCTGAAATCAACATATTCTACGGCAATATCACGAAACGAATTTCGTTTAGTGGTTAACATATAATCAATAAGGGTTGCAGTACTAGATGTGATTCTAGTCGGTTGATCTATGACTTGATATAACCCCATTGTTTCAAAAAAATCAGAGACAATCTTAGTCATGACAGTGACAATCTTAGGATGACATCAGAAATTTTTGAAAGGTGGTTTGGAAATTGGGATGCTGAATTAAAATTTAACTATAAGAAAGTTCTATTAGACTGTCTTATCTTAGCCAAGACGATGAGAAAATTAAACCGATAGAGACTCATCCATCCTATCGAGAGTAATAGTTGCTAGTGGTATCTACCTATGTAGACTTTGGTATTACTGGGAATTTATCCACTTAGTAAGAATACCATCATAAAGATGTAGTCCCGAACCATTCACCATCATCTTTTCGGATTCAGTCTTGGTATCAACAATGTGGAGTTTCTATAGGAGTACATCTCTATGCATAAAAATACCCAATCAACATATACATTAAGAAAATATTTTAAATTGTTTTTAAACTTTTACAAATTTTATTTTTCTATTTTTAGTGATATTGGCAGGCAGTAAAGCAGCTGAGGGAGTATCTGCAACAGACATGGCAAAACGTTTACAGATAGAACAGTATAAAACTCAGATGTTACGAAACCTCAATATGTTTGTTTCAAAGGAACGGATAGTAGTCCACAATTTACCATCTAGTTGGGACGATCAAAAATTAAAATTATTGTTCCAAAAATACAGTGGACCAGGTGCCATTATTAGAGAAGCTAGGATTATGAGAGATATGAAAAATATAGACTCTAATGGTTTGGGAAAATCAAAAGAGTATGGTTTTGTAACATTTTCAAAACATGAAAACGCCCTTATGGCTTTGAGAAACTTAAATAACAATCCTGAGATTTTTTCCACCAATAAACGTCCTATTATAACTTTCAGTATAGAAAACAAATCGATAATAAAAGCTAGGCAAAAAAGGTTAGACAAATCTAAACAGTACAATCCAGTAAGTAAATCATTCAATCCAGAAGAAAAGACAAAAGTATTCCAAAACGGCGGCAAAATTTCTAGAAAAGACTTAAATAAGAGGCCAAGAATAGAAAATGCTCAAACCCAAGAAGAAGATGTACCCAAATTCGGAGGAGTAGCAACAAAACCTGGAACCAAAGAAAAAATGAGGAGCAGGTACAAACTCAATGTTCAAGCAAAGTTGCATCACGAAAATCTGAAAAAGGAAAAGAAGAGAAAGAAAAATGCTAAGAAATCGTTAGCAGAAAAGAAGAAAGAGTTTACCAAACAACCTAAACAGAAAATAAATAAAGTTAGTGAAAAAGACAATTTCTCTAAAATGGTTAGTGACTATAAGAAAAAACTAGTCAGTGTATCTGGAAGTAAAAAGTCAAAGTGGTACGAGTGATTAAGATCTATTAAGTTGTATAGTTAATAAAATATGTTTAATCATCATTTGTTTTATTTATTTGGTAACTTAATGTGTAAGTTGTAAACAATCAAAGGATAAAAAAGTATAGAATAATAGACACAGCCATATATGGACGGTGTTTTGCAACAGCCGTCTAACCCACATTTGTTTACAAATGAGGTCAGACGTGTTAAACTGTCCATTATAATGCATACTACATCAAGCAAAAATGATATAAGTAATATCCATACTTCTTTAGTCGTTTGTGAACTAAGTTCTAAACCACATTCGTCAAATAACATGAAAACAGAAATTTGTAAAAATAGTCTAACCCATGTTTTCATTATAAATATGTGGGTTAGACGCTTGTTGCAAATCTTTGTAAGGGTCTTTTCATTGTGTACACCAGATGCAAAATATTAAATTGAACAAATCTTTATTTTGACTTATTAAAAGACGAGAAATTTATTATTACACTAATATTACAATTTTATTTAAATAAATAAAATTGCACCAAACTAGAAGCTTTATCTTTAATGGTAAAATACGGAAGTATATTATTTAAAACTGTGAATTTTCTGTGTTGTCAGCTCGGCAATTGATTAAAGAAATTTTTAAATTCCTTTTATCGCATATAGTGTACCGAAAAGGTAACATATGTTTTGCGAATACTCGAAGGTTGGTGCCATAAATGCCAACAAAAAATTACATTATCTAATATCGAAACCAGTTGTTCATTATATAAAATACTGGAACTGTTGCTTATAGTCAAAATTCTGGTCAGCAAAATATTGTATGCCTTTTTAACAAAAGACTTCGATATTTCAATATATAGTTTTAAACGAGTGCGACAGGTTGTTATTATTTAGGTTGTTGGTGGAATATTTTAAAGCAAAATATCACAAACTTGGTGTTATTACTTCAGTGACTAAAATTTTTATTATTCGAGGTATGTATAAACTGATTTTGACTTGAAATTTCACAGAAGATATAAATTTTTATTTAATATTAACAACAAACGACAGTTAAACTAATTTGGACCTATGATAGCTGCCATATTATTAATACTTGCACATGCAGGAATATAAATATATTAAGTTTAAAATTAGCTACATTAGTGGGGTTAGATATTTTTTGCTAACTGCACTATAACACAAAATTATTTGGAAGGAACAATAACAAAAGATTTGGAAGGAATTGGGTTAAATTTTGTTTTCGAGATTGATCAAGATCAAATGGAGTAGGAATTTAATCAGTAACAGTTACTTACTATTTTTTTTTTTTTATTTATTTATTTATTATTATTATTTTTTTTATTATTAAATAAATCCTTATTTTCTATCAGTGAATTTTTTAAAGTAGATAGGTAGACACAATATGCTCATTTACTCTGAACCATATATATATATATATATATATATATATATATATATATATATATATATATATATATATATATATATATATGTGGCTTAGACTATTATTGCAGAACACCTACTATCATCACTCAGCCATCATCTACCTTTCAGAAGCCACATAATATACAAGGCTAGTAACGATAAAGAATTAATTGTTAGGGAGTTCAGTCATATGAAGAACGAATACTGGAGTGGAAAACGCTGTTTCAAATTATATATACAGTATCTACTCTTATCTACTGCAGTACAGTCATCTATTATTATCAGTATCGTTCTGCTTTTTGTCTTTATTAAGAGAGAGTTCTCAGAAAATCAATGAATCTTTCTTACTAGAACCACCAAGTTAAAAAATAAGTAATAATGCAACTTAGTTCAGACCTGTGTAATAATATATTGTAGTAATACACGACCTGTAACGGCTACTAGAGAACACTCGACGTCTGATGAATCACCTACTTATGGCGATTTCGAATGTTTTGAATTTAATTCCTGTTATAATATCAAACAAGTTTAGAATTCTAAGGTCGATGTTTCTAATAGCCAAACGTTTTAACATAACGAAGAAGATTATTAAAAGAGCGGTTTAACATACTAATAATTGCAAGAGAAAAATTGAAAGATTATGAAGGTAAGCCAGCCGAACAGTGAGACAGGTCTTACAGCATCCTACAGACACTGGTTCTCCCCCACTTATCACGTGACCGATTAGGTTTCCCATTGGTTAGCAGAAAGCTTACATACCAACAAATAATCGCCGACAATTTAATTTCCACGTGAGCAAGTAAATATTTTCAAGTTTTGTTAGTTCGTGTTGTCGGAAGTAAAAGAAAGTATTTTGGTGATCTGTCTAGGTTAAAGGTAAGCGTTTTTTATGTAGATTACAAGAGTGGGATCATTTTGTCTGTATACATTTTATTGTATAAGTGAGGTTACAAAAGGGTGCCGACTACACGTGCCCAAATGTGACCAAATATTTTTTTGTAGGCTAATTATGGATCCAAAGAAAAGAAAAATTGGAATTTCAGACATTGGCTAGATATGTTGAGAAAGCCAGAGACGTTGACGACATTAGTTAAATGAGGATGAGTCCCAACTACAGTATTAATAAAGTATTTACGCCCGCAGAAGAAGATTCGCTTGAAAACTATATCATAAGCTGCTCACGCATGTTTTACGGGTTGTGTGTTGACGATTTTAGAAAACTTGTCTATGAAATGGCAATCAAAAATAAAAAGAAAATTCCTGTCAAATGGCATGAAAGAAAAATATGGTCGAACAGACATGTTCGACTGTCACTTCGCACCCCCGAAGGATGTAGTTTATTCTGTGCGACGTCTTTTACCAAAAATTGAAGAATATATATTGAAGAACTGATGCGTTTGCTAACGGAAGAAGAATCTACAATTTGGATGAGACTGCGACTACGACGGTTTAAAAATCAGCAAAGGTTATTGCTGAGAAAGGGACGAAGCAAGGTAACAAGTGGGGAAAGAGGAACATTGGTTACCACTTGTTGAATCGCTAGTGCCACGGGACAATACCTACCATCAGCAATGGTTTTTCCTAGGGTACATCTAAAGGAGCATATGCTACGAGGCTCCCCATCAGGAACGTTGGGGCTTGCTACTCCAAGTGGGTGGATGAATGCTGATCTTTTTTTAGAAGTAATGAAGCATTTTATAAAATATTCTAAGAGCTCTAAAGAAAATCCATCGCTTTTAATCTATGACAATCATGAAACTCATCTTAGTATTCGTGTTCTTAATTTGGCCAAAGACAATGGAGTAACAATTCTATCATTTCCTCGTCATTCCACAAATAAGATGCAACCACTAGGTGTGGGGGTATTCAAAGCATTCTCAACATGTTATAATGCATCTATAGATACCTGGATGATGCAACATCCAGGTAAGCCTTTCACCATATATGAGGTAGCTGAGTGCGTCAGATTTGCTCATGAAAAATCTCTCACACCGAGAGATGTGAGTCTATGTCTTCACAGATATAGACTTTCTACCAAGCGCTGTTACCGTTCTCGATTTAAAAGATGATGTAAACCAAAAAAAGTCAATCGATCTACCAAGTACATCAACATCAACAAATAAAATATCCGTGAATGATAATATTCAAAAACATATATTGGATATAGAAAATGATGCTACCTTAGATACCAGTATTGAAAATAGCAATCAACAGAACCATAAAAATGGCAATACTGTCACAGATGTTTTTAAAAGCCCAGAAGAACTTAAGGGCTTTCCAAAAGCAGGAGAAAGCAAAACTAAAAATTGATAAAATCGAAGTGAAAACAGTAGAAAAGATCAAGAAACAAATATTTGAAGATAGTTCTGAAAGCTCAGACGAGGAACTTGAACTTGGTTCATCCTCAGGGGACGACTGCTACTATACAATCAATCCAGATGGGTTTGAGGAGCTTCACAGAAAGCCCATAGAAAATGATTTTGTTTTCGTGGAATTTTCTGGAAAATTAGAGAAGAAGGTGTATTATGTTGGAAAAGTCCGAAAATAAATGAGTCAAAAGAGTATGAAATTTCGTATCTTAGAAAACAAAGGAAGGGCACCAGCAAAATTGGATTTCCCAATATTCCAGATGAAGCTATTGTTGCTTTAAAAGATATCAAGCTCATCATGCCACCCCCAATTTTTTGTGGGCACACTAGCCTACAGATGGCTTCTTTTACGTTTGAGATAGATTTTGGATTAATGGACAATAGGTAGATACATACCTTGTAGGGGAAAGGATGAGGTAGCTGGTTCGATAAATTAAAAGTAAATAAGTATTTGAAAAATTATGATCTCACCTTCCTACATTTGGTAGATAAAAAATAAATTAAACCTCGAAGGACCAGCGACCCATAGGTCGCAAACTTGCGGATATGTAATTATGTAGTGAGTAGTAAAATAGAAAATGATATAATTAAAATAAGAATAAAAGCTAGAAATATTTTTATTACATTATTTACAAAAATAAATAAAAAAGCGGAATCGCCAACAAATCACCCTTTTTATAATAAGAAAATATAAATGTTTATGTACAATGTTCTTAAACGCACAACTGTTTATATGAAAATATAGAACAATAAAGTTTATATGTAGATTATTGAATATCCGGCAACCCTGTAATTTGTCGGACCGGCATTCATGAAAAGTTGGCACGAAACCGTAGATTATTTTCTGTATGAAAAAATTATTTCAGGTACTTACATATTTGATGCACAAACACTGAATTTAGTTTAATTAACTATTTAATAAAATAAGTTATTCAAAAACTGCTTCTATTTGAGAAGCGCGAGAACAGAACTATCTTGTTTCTACTTGAGAAACTGAAAAAATGAATTGACTTACGTCCTTCTATTTGAGAAGGCAGCAACGAAGTAGTATTAAGGGTAGTTGATTTGAATAGATTAATGTAAAATTCTGACAGGCGCAGAAGATACGAAACAGCACGAAGAAGGGATGTCGTGCTGATCGTATAGACTTTAATTTAATTTAGAAGATAATTTAGTGGAATAATAATAATTATTAGAATAATAAATAAACTATTGTAGAAAATGTGAATAATTTTCTACATACCTAGATATTATATTTTTATGTTTACTCATTTT